TGGGCTGGACCATGCCAGGCTGGGTCATGCCAGGTTGACCCACACCAAACTGGATGATGCCAGGCTGGCCAGCTTCTGGCTGGACCACACCAGGCTGACCTACACCAGGTGGGACCATGCCAGGCTGACCCATGCCAAATGGGGCCACACTGGGCTGACCCACACCAGGCTGGACCATGCCAGGCTGGACCATGCCAGGCTGGATCATGCCAGGCTCAGCCACACCAAATGGAACCATGCCGAGCTGACCCACACCAGGCTGGACCATGCTGGGATAACCCACACCAGGCTGTACAATACCAGGCTGACCTACACCAAATGGGACCATACCAGGCTGACCCACACCAGACTGGACCAAGCCAGGCTGACCCAGACCAAATGGGGCCATGCTAGGCTGACCCAGGCCAAATGGGGCCATACCAGGCTGACCCACACCAGACTGACCCACACCAGGCTGGGCCATGCCAGGCTGACCCACACCAGACTGACCCACACCAGGCTGGGCCATGCCAGGCTCACCCACACCAGGCTGGACCACACCGGGCTCCACCATGCTGGGCTGACCTGTGCCAGGCTGGCCCACACCCGGCTGACCCACACCGGGTTGATCCATGCCAGGATGACTCACACCAGGCTGGACCACTCCAGGAAGACCCATGCCAAGCTGGACCCTGCCAGGCTCACCCATGCCAGGCTGACCCACAGCAAACTGGCTCACATCAGCCACGCCGGGCTGGTCCACCCCAGGCTGACCTGCTTCGGGCTGTGCCAAGCTAGATGGATAGGCACCGGGTGGCATCATACCAAGCTGGCCTGCTGCAGGCTGAACTGCAGCGGGCTGACCTGCCCGAGCCTGGATCATATCAGGCGACTGTAGGCCAGGTTGGATGATACCAGATAGCCCCAAGCTGGGCCCTACAAGACCTTGCTGGCCTGCGGCCACTTGCATCATACTGGCAGGTGCCAAACCATACTGGTCTGTAAGAGGGGAAACCAACCCTGGCTGATCCACGCCGTAAATCACAAACCCGCGGGGGTCGATGCCGACGGGCACCAGCCCACGCTGGCCCGCGCCAGGAGGCCCCCCGGCACTGGCGGCGCTGCCCAGCTGCTGGGCTGCCCCGGGCGGCATCAGACCAGCCTGGTAGGGACCCAGACTGTGCTGATCCGCGGGAGGCGGCTCAAATACTTGCTCTGTGCCAGGCACAAGAGGCGGCCCCACACCGAACGGACTCACGGTAGGGGGGGCCGCGCCCTGGCCCGGCCCTGGCTGCAGCATGCCCAGCTGACTCGCCGCGTGCGGCACAGTGTCAGAGAGAGAAGGGCCGGGCAGCGTGCCCCGCAGCCCCAGCCTCTGCTGATCCGGCGTCTGGTAAATGTGGCTCTGGCTGAAGCGCACCCCCACGTGATGGTCGGGGTACTCGTAGGGGCGCGGCTCTCGGGCCGCGGCGAGGTCCTGCTGCCCGGGCAGGACCTCGCGCGGGTCTCGCCTCAGGTGCTCCCTGGACCTGCGGTGGTCGGCATCGGCTCTGGACTTGGGAGCGGGGTGCGGGGGCGCCTTCCCCAGGCTGGCCTGGTGCAGCTCTCTGGCGGGGTGCCCTGCAGCGAAGGCAGCCCTGCTTCCGTCCTGGCCAGGGGCCCTGTCCGTGGAGTATCTGGGGCCGCCGGTTTCTGGCGCGGGCTGCTCTGAGCTTGACTCGGGAGCAGACTCCACGCTGCTCGGAGGCTTGGAGGAGGGGGGGCCTGCGCCCACTCTCTCGGCGGAAGACTGCCCTCTGTGTTTGGGGAGCGCCACTGCCGTCTCCGAGCCCTGCTAGGGAGGGGAGATGGTCACTGAGAGGCTCGGAGGGAAGGAGGGCGGGCTGTGCGGCCGACTCAGGCCCTCGGAGGCGAGTTCCCTCTGGCTCCAGAAACAGGACACAAGACAGACTGACATTCTCGAAAGACAGATCTCCAGACTTCTGAGAACCTTCATGCTTTCAAATGGCACCATAATATGTGGTGTCCTCCTGGGGCCGCCCTGGGGGCACAGGGCTGAGTCTCGCACTGTGAAGCCCTCACCAGTCTCTGCGGCCTGAGTCCGATCCCGGCCAGGGAGGGACCCCCAGGGCGCAGCAGACCTCTCCTGTCTCCCCGCTGCTCCCCTCAGCAGTGTGTTTCAGTGGATACAGTTGTTCTGCTCCCCACTCTGTCTCTGGTGAATCCTCTCATCCCTCCACCTCTGGCCTGCACCCCAGTTCTTGTGTGCATAAATAAATAAAATCTTAAAGAAAAGAAAAGAAAAGAAAAAACAGGGCACATGCTTACCTTGACATACGTAAGTCAGAAACCCAAACCAGGGTCATCAGGCTGTGGGAGACGAGGTGCTGGGGCTCCGTGGTGTGGCCGGGCCTGTCAGGCCTGCTCCCCTCCCCTCTGCAGCCGCCCCTCCTCCTGGGACCACCCATTCAGATCACCCCAACCGTCTCCCGGGTCAAGACCCCCCTAGGGTAATCACACCTGCAAGGCCCCTGTGCCATAACACTGACATCCCCAGGCTGGGGGCATCAGGACAGGGGTGCTTGCGTGACCCTACTGTGCCCACCACTGAAAACCAAGTCCTGGTTTCACAAGACAAACACTGGAAACCCGGAGAGCCGCAGCGCTGGCAGGGCGGGGGACGAGGTTTCGGAGGCAGCAGGTGAAACCTGGGTCATTTCTTTTTCTTTTTAAAGATGTATTTATTTCTGCACAGCCCAGAGGTGTGGAGCTGAGCCGACTCAGGGACACTGGGGAGCAGAACAGGCGGATCAGTGAAACCCACTGCTGAGGGGAGCCGCGGGCGCCAGGAGGGGGCTGCTGCGGCCTGGGGCCCTCCCTGGCCAGAACCCAACTCGCTGAGGGGCGGGGACAGCTGCGCAGTGAGACTCAACCCCCAGGGAGGCCCAGACGCCCATGTCCTTTCTGAGGATGAGCAGAACTAGACATAAAGGGGGCGATGCTGCTGCCGGGCACAGACCAGAGACCTGGGTCAAGATGCTTCTGCTTGAAAACCACAGCGGGGCTCAGGGGACGCAGTGCAGCGCCCCGCACGGCCGCCTGGTGGCGCCAAAGCGCCGCGCTCCTCGCCCCGCTTCTGGGGGGCCCCACTTGCACCAGGGCGCCGGGAAGGGAACTGCAGGACCGAGCGCGCAGCCGGCCTCGCCCTTGGAAACACCCATTTTCCTCAGAGGCAGCGGGGCGAGGGGTTTGAGCCCACACGGCCGCCTGTGGCCGCGCGGGACGGCCGACGCGTGCGCCTGCGTGGAGACGCCAGCAGCGCACCCCCTACATCCAGGGTGGGGGGCACCGCGTCCATTCACAGCGCCGGGACTTGTGCGCGGAGGACAGGCTGACAGCGCTCCGGGACCAAGCGGCCTCGAGGCGGCCGGCGGCCGGCGCCCTCCCGCCCCTTCGCGTCAGTGACCCCTGCCACCCCTGTCCAGCGGCTCCCGAGCCCCCTCTGTGCAGCCCCACCCGTGAGGGGCGCCTGGAGCTGGAAGACAGGGGACACTGAGACACCCCGCCGGGAAACTGAAATAAGTCACCGGCCCCAGGCATCAGAAGACGGGCCACGCCGCCGGCCAGTACCTGGGAGGCCCTCCAGCCGTCAGTGATGGCGTGCTCCAGCTCCTCCCAGGTGACCATGGTGGCCTCCTCGCTGGGGGGCATTATGCTCAGCTTCCGCCTGACCACATCCTGTAGGAAAACGCGGTGCGCACCTGCTTTCACCCCGGGAAACTTCAGGGACAGAACAGAGGGGACCCCAGTTCGTCCACCCCTCACCCCAGTACTGGGACAGGAGAAGTCGCTGTCCCAGTGGTGGGTGAGTCGGCCCTGATGGAGGCCTGCGCCGGGCGGAGAGCCGGCGGCTGCAGGAGCCCGAGGCCCGCACCCCCACCCTGCAGGGCCCACCTGGGGGCCGCCCGCCCTCCGGGCCCCCACAGGGCGGCGCCTTACCAGGAATTCCTCCTGCTCTTTGAACGCCTTCTCTAATTCTTCCACCCGTTGCAGGATTTTCTGGAAGAAGAGTTCAGATACGGATATTCCAAGCAGCACCGCCACCCTGTGTCCTAGGCACGCGTGCACACGTGCTCACACTCACCCCAGGCACTGTGAGGGTCTGGGGGGCCTCACCCTACCCCTGCAGAGCCTGGCCCTTAGGGTGTCTGGATGTGTCACCCCAAGAGAAACAGCACCTCAAGCGAGCCCAGGCCAGCTGCTGAAATCTGAAACTGGGGCGAGTCTCGGGAATCCGAGGCTGAGCAGTGAGAGGCTAACGGGGACACAGCCAGCCGCGGAAGCCCTGCCCGGACGCCCGCTCCGCGCCCCAGGCTGACCCCGGCCGGGCCCTGGGCG